AAAAGATTTGCTTTTGGGTAGAACCAAACATGCCGAACTTCCAACATGGAAGCTTATTCGCCCGAGACCCACCAAAAACCAGTACATGGGGCCTTATTATATTTGCAAAGGTGCTAGTGTTGTTCTGCTTTGTGGCCTTATCCTGCTTTTTTGCTATTTTTTTTTTCCTTTTACTAAAAATCCTCAATTTGTGCTTTGTAGATGTGGCGATGGGACAAGAATGCCGGTATCTTGGCCACTGTACCTTTGCTTATTGCCAAGAAGAAATTGAAGTGTGGACGCTAGAACGCAAAGGCTTTATCTGCAGGGATAATCTATGTGATCCTTATGGATATAGACCTAAGATCAATGTGACAGTGCCCAAAATCCTACAGGAGCACCATGGTATATTTATGTTCCTCTGTGAGGTAAAGTGTGCCATTGTTTAAGCGGCTTGCCCAATGTAATTGCTGACTAACCCATGATACACCTGAAAGTAAGCGGACTAAAAAGAATTTGGCCGTTCTGGTTGGAGATATTTTTTTTTTCAGCAGCTGACTGTCTGTCTTTTAACACACCCTCTCATTTCATCATTGAACTGGAATGACTGGTTTTCAAAAGAATGGATTTTCAGTTTCAGTGTTTGTTTTTCATCATTGCTGAAATTTGCATTGGTTTAAACTTTGAAGGAGCTGTAAAAATAACATGTGTGACTTGGTCTGTAGGTGTGCTTTGATCACAAACCCCGAATAATCAGCAAAACCAATAAGGACAACCCCGGTCTATGCTCTCACCCCGTGACAAAGCATGCGTTTGAGGAAAAGAAGTAAGCATTTCTTCTTGTGAAGACATGTACAGACACTAAATATGCAGATTCATGCTTTGCAGTGAATGCAGTTGGTCTGAAAATAATGAATGCATCTGATCAGGGCTGGGCGATATATTCAGTGTTTATATATTTAATATTATTTTGTCTGTGAAAATGAAACATTCTGTAACATTTATTTGCCCATTAAGCTTCTTGAACTCTGTCCGTACAGTAGATCAGTGTCAAACCCACACCATGCCATGACACGGATTTAATTTGTCTGTTATTTAAATATCAATAGAGTTTGAAAGTTTTATTCATTTTTTCAAACTTTGTCAGTGAATCAGCATGAATACTGATTCATCATAACTCTGAAAACCTAGTTGTATATAATTTCAACTGTAAAAATCATTATAGTATTAATACTTGTACTACAAATTAAATATAATATTAAAATGAAAATATCAACAATTGATTTATTTCTTTTAAACAGTGTTTTACACAGTTTAAACAATAGTTTTAGTGGTCATTATACAAAAACATTTTACCCAAAGATGCTGCTCTTGACAAATGAAGCTGAAGTGTTTCAGAGAGCCAGGAAGTGATGACATTTTCGTTGTTGTAGTCTATATTTCCTGGCGCTGGGTGAGATCTTTTATTACTTGGATTGAATTTTGACACTAATTACACACTTTTTTGTTTTGTTTTTTTAGGTGCCTTGTACACTATTTAAGGGACAAAACCGTTAGATACTCCAAAATTCGTCCATACATCCCTCTTTGCCAGATGGATCTGTGTAGGCATGAGGTACGGTACGGCTGCCAGCGTGAGGATGCCTGCTTTTACGCCCACAGCCTCATCGAGCTCAAAGTATGGATGATGCAGAGTGAACGAGGTGAGCAGAAACTTCAGTCTCATGAGTTATCAGACATCGAGGTTGATGGGAAACGCTAACTGTTGTGGTGTTTTGATCTGTTTCAGGGATCTCACACGAAGGTATTGTTCAGGAATCACAGAAATATTGGAATATGGATGCTGCTGTTCAAGCCCAGGTAGAATTTATACATGTGTACTAATATTAGCTGTATATACCCATGTTTCTGCGAGAGATTTCTTGTATTGTGCTTGTGGCAATTCCGTAGGAGTTTCCACCAGCCCTGCGCAGATTTGGGCCAGTTAACCTGAAGATGCAGTTCGTATGTGCTCAGTGTTGGAGGAACGGCCAAGTCAGCGAGCCGGACAAAAACAAGAAGTACTGCAGTGCCAAGGCCAGGCATACGTGAGTCCTGCTCATGCGTTCATCCAAAAATGGAAATCAAACCCACTCAACTTTCTTTTTCGGAACACAAAAGGAGAAATGTTTAATGTACTGCTCTTTTCCATGTAATAATCACCATGCACTTTCATTTCAAGTGAAAAAAATAACTTCTATATTCTTTCAACACATTTCCTGTTTCAAATCCCTTAATTTTTTTTTCACTCTCACTTGAGGTGGTTTTTGACTTGCGAAAAAGAGTTAATGCTAATAATGGAAGATGAAAACATTTAGGAGCATTTAGGCCTTGATTGTAGTGTTGAGTTTCAACTAATCACAGCACTCTGGTCCAGCTGACCAATCAGAGCACATTGTACCTTTCAGAAGGAGGGGCTTACATTGTCTACAAGCATATTGTAGAACCATTGCCGCCAATGGTCTCTACGATCAACTTGGCTCACAATGCTTTTGAGAAATGCTGTCCAAAACATCTGGTCATTCTAGTAAAGGGATACTCCACCGGGTTTTCATATTAAACTATGTTATTCCCTTAATTAAGACGAGCTGATGCATACCTCTCTCGTCTCAGTGCGTGCACTCTATCGCTCTGTATTGGCGCAAAACTATGTTAGCACTTAGCTTAGCCCAGTGCATTAAATATGGGCCAGAAAGAGAAGTGACAACACTTCCTCGTTTTCCCTATTTAAACACAGTAACTCGATTAGTGTAACTCGACCTAGGCTGGTGACACAAAATAAAACGTTGTGTTTCTAAGCGTTTAAAATTGATGACTATATTGTATGGCGGAATACCATAAAAAAGTGTTTTAGAGCACTTCAACTTGGCGCAATAATACCTTCACTCGTGAAAAGTCCTCTTACCGGCTCACGCTTTGTCGCATGTCACGTTGGCTGCATTGACGGAAATAAGAGGGAGGGGGAGAGCGAGGAAGCGTGAGCCGGTAAGAGGACTTTTCACGAGTGAAGGTATTATTGCGCCAAGTTGAAGTGCTCTAAAGCACTTTTTTATGGTATTCCGCCATACAATATAGTCATCAATTTTAAACGCTTAGAAAAACACAACGTTTTATTTTGTGTCACCAGCCTAGGTCGAGTTACACTAATCGAGTTACTGTGTTTAAATAGGGAAAACGAGGAAGTGTTCGGTCGCTTCTCTTTTTGGCCCATATTTAATGCACTGGGCTAAGCTAAGTGCTAACATAGTTTTGCGCCAATACAGAGCGATAGAGTGCACGCACTGAGACGAGAGAGGTATGCATCAGCTCGTCTTAATTAAGGGAATAATATAGTTTAATATGAAAACCCGGTGGAGTATCCCTTTAAATACTATTATGCCCATGTCTGATAACTCATGACTCGTCACTTTCTGTTAACTAGTTGGTCTAAAGAGAGACGAGTGGTTCTGGTTAGTTCTATTGAACGGAAAAAGTGGACCACAGTTCGACCTCTCCCAACAAAAAAACCTGTTCCTGCTCAATTTGAAGTAAGTCTTATATTGTTTTTTGTTTTTTTTTCATATTAAGTATAGAAATGGATGGTTCATAATTTGTCACTGTCTCTTGAATAATTGTTTTTCGTGCATGTTTTTAGATTTGCTTGCATGTGGCTGCAGGCAAAAAGTGCCAGTACATTGGAAACTGCACGTTTGCTCACAGCACAGAAGAAAGAGATCTATGGACCTTCATGAAAGAGAACAATAGTAAGTTCATTATGCATTTGAGTGCTGAAGTTGCATGACTTGCATTCAGGGACTCATTTATATAGGAATTATTTTGTTTGTTTAGCTTCATTGGTCATTAAAGTCCCTGTAAAGGCAATTCTACAAAAAAGTTCTAAACACATTATAAATGTTGCATATGTATTGCTAAAACATATTACAAAGTCTGTGAACTGTGAAGTACTGAAATGTGGAGTTAGACCGTTAAACAGTTTTTCACCGTTGCAATTTTACGGATTAATTGGGCGGGGCTAAAACAGGGCTCGATGACGCACAGAGTCTGATCTCCCCCTCTCCACACACACTCCCCGAGTACATTCGCATTCACCGCTCAATCGCGAGTGACTGTCAGTACTATTAGTTACTACAGCTGAGCCTACAGTTTTCTAGCTAGCTATGCCTTCGACACGGACATGCATGGGCTACTACCTGGATGCGATCATGTACAAAACAGATCGGTATCTTCATTTAAAAAGAGGTTTTTAGAGAGCTAATACCTTGATGAAGAGCCTCTGTACCGCTGTAGTGATTGTTTTACACTGGATCGTTTTATAAACTTTCCTCAGAGACAACTTGGATTCACTGATAATCCGCTGTTACTGGTGAACGGGGCCGAAACGACGATCTCCCGCCTCAGTGTTCATCCTCCCGTCTCCAAAAGCTAATCAGCTAATATCACCGTCGACAGCTTTCCCGTGAGTGGGCGTGGTTTCAGCGCAGCCAGCCGACACGCCCCCAGCGTTTGAGAGCAGAGAATCTGCTCATTTTTTCATGATTTTGATAGCTTATTTTATGTACTTCCCCGATTTTTTTTTTTATCATTCAAATTTGACTGGGTGGCTAAAAACACTTTTTTTTCTGTGGTATGACAGACTCAGAATACATACTTAATTTTGACTTTACAGGGACTTTAAATCCAGATGATGACAACCAATACATAGTGGCCCTCATTTATCAAAAGTGCGTACACCAAATTTTCAGTGTACACCCAAAACCACGGTGACTTTGAGATTAATCAATATGGACGCCCAAATATTCATGAGGTTTTGTACGCACGTTCTGAGTTAGTGCGGAAATGCGCAGAAAAACAATTCCTAACTCCACAAAACGCACTGACAAACTAAAAGATATGATATATTATGATCCACTGTAAAAAAAACAACAACAACATAGTGATTATAAACATCAGTGTTTATTTTTGCACAACATGGACTTCAATGTTTAATTTGTGTGACTTTACCAAAGCCTTTGATTTGTAAGCATATGTATTCCTTCAGTTGCGAGCATGTGCGCTGTGTGCCAGGGTTAGCCATGAGTCTGACAGGTGCGCACGGACTGGGTTTGGTAATGAATCGGCTTTAATAACTTAAATATATTTAACTTAGTGCATTGATTTATTACGAATCAGTCTATTAGTTTGTGTGACGTGCTTTTATTTTGTCACATTTGCCTTCTAGGTGCCATGGTTTAATTTACTCGACAAGATGAGTCACTGAATAAAACGGCCGATTTTGTCAAATTAGGTGTCAAATTTCATTTGACCTCCCCTCCACTAGATGGCAGACATGTCATACTTCATCCCCAACTCAAAACGTCATGCTTCTATACAAAATGTTCTAGGTACAGCGCATTGAATCAGTGCGAACAAAAGCAGAGCTAGTGTGTGAGTGAGCCATTTTACCAGAGCCTCTCCGCAATCGCGGCGACAGAATTGTGGTGGAGACTTTGTCTAATGCCACTGGGTATGTTAGACGAGGTCGAAGTATTCATAGGACATTCATAGGCAAAATGTTGTATTTGTTCTCATTGGGGGCAACGTGGTGGCAGGGTGGGGAGTCGCAATGACCATGACAGTTGTCCGAGCTCTGCAAACTCGGCAGGCTGCTCGTATCATCTCACTCATGATCTGTGCCTTGCCGTGGCGAGTGAGCTTTTGAACTAAACAGGTCTTGTCTACTTGTGTTTTTGTGTCATATGAATATATATATGTATATATGTATATGTGTATATATATATATATATATATATATATGTGTGTGTCCCATACATGGAACCAGAGTGCCTACTGTTTGTAGTAAATGGAAAATCTCCACAGCAAAATGCCAACCACTACATGCATTCGGTTTGTTTCTACCATTTATTAGTAATGATTTGCACAGTTTGTTTACTATTTACCTGAGAATTCAGTATTGTGCAATATAGCATACAGAAGGTGAGGGACATTTTGAGGGGAAAGAAGTGCTGCATTTTATCATTTAAACAGATTTTTCATGAAAATTCTTTAATCCAAGATTGCTGCCTCCATATGACGTCATTATATGCAAATTAGATTGGAAAATTGAATCCCTACATTAATTTTGGGTCATCCTTAATATTTCTCTAATTTACAGAAAGTCTTTTTAGAAAGTCAGATAGCCTTTTGAATTTAAGATTAAAAAAACAAACGTTTTGAGAAAAAAACTTCGAGTTAATTTTGTTCTTGATTTTATTGACAGTAGCCTGGGTTTCCCCATACGGTCTTGTGTCGCACAATTTTATTCACGATGTTGGGTAGTCTGGATACCATGGACCAAATTTTCGCCTCAGCGAGGGGACCAAATGGGCATTCATAAACCACGCCTCAAATACGAGAAAATGAACACATGGTTTCCAGACCCAAGTCTCGATGTCAATGAGACGTGGTCTGACGTTGGCCAGGCCACATTGACAGTAGCCTACCTGAAAAATGTAAAGCACCAGGCTATTTAATTTATATCTTTCTAATGTTGTGTTTGTTATTTTGAATCTTTCCTTCGTTTTAATAGCAAAGATAAAATTATACTATATTGTGATTTTATAAGATTACATTTAAAAAAAATATATAATAAATTACCTGTGAAATTAAATTACGGTCCTATCCTGAAAGGTTAGTACATGTGATTGACATAATGTAATAATTGAAATCATCTCTGTAAGGAGATGTTTACACTGTGGCATGTAATTCTTTTTAAATAAAGGAGAGGGAATGGTCAAAAAGCAGGGCAGGAACATGCTGGTCAAGTGAGTTTTTAATTTAAGAATTTTAAGTTCTGTTATTCAGTTACTTTTACTGTGTTTTAGTTTTTTGCCGTGGTAATGGTTCAGATTGAGATGTTTTAGATGGGTATTGAAGGTTATAATATGGCCACACAAGTTTGTTTTATCACATAAGTGGTTTTATGTACCATTTGTTTATTTAAAGTTGGTTTCTCAGCTCTGGCCCTTGAGATCCACTTTCCTGCAAAGTTTTCTTCAAACACACCTGAACAAGCTGATCGAGGTCTTCAGGATTACTAGAAAGTTACAGTCAGGTGAGTTTGATCAAGGAGTGAAACTCTGCAGGAGAGTGGACCTTGAGGGCCAGAGTTGAGAAGCCTTGGTTTAAAGGTACACTATGTAACTTTTGGCTCTATATCGGTTAAGAAATAAAACTGCGCGCATTTTGCGGAATAACATGGTTTTGGTAGTAACATAAACAGATGTAGATGCACCAAGTTTTCGGGGGTTTTTTAGCTAGAAAACCTTGTCAGTGTAATATTTTTTGCATGTCAGGGTTTCCGTGATGAGAGTCTGCTTGGCTCCGATGAAGATGGATAGATCACAGATCCTTTGCCTGTGCCGCTTGTTGTCAGTTCAGAAGAAAGTTTAGGTTGTTGCTGTTTAGGTGTTACACACCTACCTGTGAGTTTCTGGTGATCCTGAAGACCTTGATTAGCTTGCTCAGGTTAGGGCTGTGCCATATCATACCGTCCACGATAATACCGGTATAAAATTTTACATGATAAAAAATTGTCATATCGCGATATTGATGATATAATGACGTATGGCGTATTTACGTTACTTTAGCGCATGCACAACAACACAGCAGCATGTCAGCCTCCGGATCAGATCAAGATTTAGTTCCTAAAAAGGGCGCTACTTCAATAGTATGGAAGTTGTTTGAGTACAAGAGGGTCAGATCTCCAACAACACAATTTTTTTTTTTTTTGTCAAATATGCAATGAAAACTCGTTTCACACTCCCTACTAGCGTACATTTTGCATTCGCCTAATCTTCCTTCAGAGTTTCCGCAGTTCGGGTACAAACAGTCAACACGATTAAAACTCTTTCTAAGATGATTCAATGTTACTATTATTATATTTGATCTGTAAATAAAAGGTCTATGGTTTCGCATAACACAACTTTATCTTGCTGGACTTTATTGCTGTAACTAAATCATCATGTTACTTCTATCCGGCCGGGTGTCTGTTAGAGCAAAACACTAGAGTCAGAGCAACATTGTTCATCACGCGCACAGTAACTGAAATGTAAAACTGTTAAAAGAAAGGACTCAATAAACGATTGCATAGCTAGATGCTGTATATTATACACGACGCTACGCAATCAATATTTATTTCCTTTGTGCTTTGAACTGTTCAGTGCGGAGTATTCGACGCGCTGCGCGTGCGCGCTGTGACTCCGTGTTGCTTCAAGCGCATCATTCAGCGCTCGGGGATGCGCATAAGCGCTGTGCGATATATTGGAGCCTTTCATATCATAATACTTTTGCGCAATGAAGATTATTAATAGCCTTTGTTCTGTCCTATCGATCATATGTTGCTGCCTCATTAAACAGCTGTGCTATACATTTTAAACATGCCTCAATTTTATAGTAGACTAGGCCTATATAATAATTAATCCTTTTGATTTGTTACCTTGTTTGTTTTTTCAATGAATGTACAATACAAAGAGCAATGTGTAAAGTTTTACCAGATTTAGTGTTACAATTGTCTCTTATTTATTCCCCACTAAATGTTTTTTCCTAAATGTTCCCGATTTTATACAATTATTGTATAAATTAGGTATTGTATACCTCATTTGATGCTAATCCAAAAACTATGCAAGGCAACTGTTACATTTTGAAGGTTTGTTTGGATTGCCGCTGTTTGTTTAAATTTTTTGTACTTCAAAGTTTAGGTAAATTTTATTAGGTGACAATATTGTGCAGGCTTCTGAAGTTTATTGTTAATATTGTTATGTATTACTGTAGTTATTGTTAAAATAAAATGATAAGGAGTTATGTTATACTTTTTTTTTTTCACTAATGCTGCTGCCAGCCAGCTGCAATCACCAATAAAACATTGTTTCATATATATTTTTTCTATATCGTGATAAATATCATTATCGCAAATATTCTTGAAATATCGTGATATAATTTTTAGGCTATATCGCCCACCCCTAGCTCAGGTGTGTTTGAGCTAAACTCTGCAGGACAGTAGGGCTGCAACTAACGACTATTTTAATAGTCGACTAGTCACCGACTATTGAAACGATTAGTCGACTAATCGGATAATTATTAAATTTTTCTAAACTTTAGCATGAGATTGCTTTAATTCTGTGGAAAATGATGGTAAAAACAAGAAAGAAGGGGGTACTTCAATGAAAAATGCATATTTTATTGAACTTTGCTGCTGATGGGCCGATTCATATTAAAAGTAAATAAAAATGCCCTGTCTAAAACCAATTAGGCACAGTGATTGGTCAGTATAATTTAAGTCCTATTCTACTGACCCCTAACTATTGAATTGTGGTCTCTGGGTGATATGAGTCAAACTCTCATATCATCATCACCCAGTCTTGACTCACATGCTTGTCTTCTAATGATCGTGTGTGTGCAGTTGCAGACATGGAGCAGCTGTATGAAATGTGGCTGCAGTCTCAGAAGCCGGGCTGGAGCGAGGAGAGCTCCAACATCGCCACCCGAGAGAATCGGCAAACAGATTCACATGCCCACGGACTACGCTGAAGATGTGGTATGGAAACATGAGCAACATTCATATATGCAAACATCTTCGTCACACCTCCGTATGACACAACCTTGGTTTATCTTAGTGTCCTTTACACAAAAGCAAGGAAATTACAAAACGCTCACTGTCAAGGATGGCACATCCACTCGGGGCTCTGTCATTCTGCTGTCTCTCTCTGCTTTCACTTTCTTGGACCACAGTTTGCCATGTCAGGTCAAAAATCGTGTGATTTAAAAAAAAAAAAAAACTTTTAAAAATGTACCTCGACCCCTGCAATCTGTTCTAGTCCATTGTGCTCCTCTAGCTGTTTTTGAGCACCAAACACAGCCTGTATCTACACCTCATGTGAAATTTATTTAAAAAGGTATTGTGAATGATTATTAGTTGCGTCATATTGCTTTGTAACCTTATTGGAGTGCTGTCTCGTAACTTAATAAATATTCATGTTAAGTCACCAACTGATTAGCACACACACACACTCTCGACAGCATCTGTTTTGCAGACTACTGGCCAAATGTCACAATGCAATTAATATTCATGAGCAAATCCTTTACCTATTAGGACTTATATTACAGCATACAGACTTTAAAAGAAATTTGATTAAATGGTTAGTGGATAAAATGAAAATTCTGTCTAATTACTCGCCCTCATATGTCGTTCCAAATCCATAAGACTTTTGGGTAACACTTTACTTGAAGGGGTGTGCATAAGACTGACATGACACCTTCATAATCATGACATGACACATGTTTTGAGTATGAAGGAAGTTGTATGCATGTTTATGACAAACCAATACATCATAACCTGTCAGTGTCTTTGTCATGACTTGACCTGTCATGCGGTTGGCTTTTGACATTGGCTGTCATGAGGCAATTATAACTGTCTTATTTTTCATGACCTCAACTACAGTGGTACTAATTGAATTTGTCATTAAAATGTTATAATGGCTTCATGACAGCCAATGCCAAAACCAACCACCTGACAGTTTAATGTAATGTAAACCAATAAAGCTAAGTTTGATAATTAATCTGCTATGTCATGTTTATGACAGGTTGTGTTGTCTTAATAATGTCAAGTTGTCATGACAAAGACACTGACAGGTTATGATGTATTGGTTTATGTCAAGATCTCAAACAATGTCATATTTGCATTAAAAATGTCATAACTGAGCGAATGACACTTAATGACAGTTGTCATAAACATGAATAAAACTTCCTTCATATTCATAACATATGTCATGTCATGATTATGAAGGTGTCACGTTAGTCTTATGCACAGTACACCACTTCAAGTAAAGTGTTACCCACTTTTGTTCCTCTTCAAAACATTAGCTTTTTATTAATGAATTGAGTCCCATACAGTAGTAAAGACATCACGTGTCACATTATGGATTAAACAGAATTTTATGATGAAATGCTTTGTTTATGCAAAAAAAAAAAAAATTACCACTTTATTTACAAATTTTGAAAGAACACCATGATGTATGCGTGTTATTGACGCAAGAGTGCATTAAGGTGCGTTGGAGATTACTTTTTTCTTTTTTTCTTCAAACAAAGCACTCTCTTAGCTTCATAAAATTGAGGTTAAGCCACTGGAGATCTTTTCTTATGTCTTTACTATCTTTCTGGGGCTTGAAAGCGATAGTCTTTTCTTCCCCTGTTGTTACACACATCTGAGTAAAAAGGCTTCTGGAATGTGGGAAAAAAATATAGGGCAGGATTTTTGTCCATCAGGAATTGATCATAGGAAGTTGGGTATTGCTAACTGAATGGAGGCAGATCTGAATGACAGTTTGCAATCAGTTGAGGATGTTTAGGGGCCGTTTTACACAAGACTTTCAGTTTTTAGTAGAAAACGGTGTCATGCATTTTGCCTGTCCTTTTACCCAACAATGGTGTTTTGGGGGCCTGAAAATGTAAACTTTTGAAACCATTAGCATTAGTGTTTCCATTAGCTAATTGTGAAAACGGTGGCATCTGTAGTAATTCAGTGCACATTTGTGATGCGATCTGGGAAAACCCGTAGGATGTTGCGCTGGTACGTTTTCAGTAAGGTCTAAATATAGATTGAATGTCGTTTTTTTTTTTGGTCAAAATTGTGATTTTATTAAATTATTATTCTATAACATCTTATCATCTCTGAATATATTTTGGGAAAAATCACTAGTTTAGTGCAGGAAAATAGCGATTTATAATGTCCAGCTGAAAAGACTGTGTTTCTCTTTAAGAACACGCAGGCGGAGCTGAGGGGGAAACACAAATCTCCCGTTTAGCTCTCCTTCCCTTAACACTACAAAGACAGTTCACCTATCAAAATAAACCACATAACAGAATAAAGTCCAGTCCTGGGTGAACTACAACAGCCCGCAAGTTTTTATTTATTTGTTTTTATCCAGCGTTATCATGTGGTGTGAGACCTTGCTCGCCTCTCAAGGTTGAATTTTGAGTTCGTAATCTTTCGAATGATACCTAATCTATGATGATTACTAAAATATGTGATATGAAAAAAGGGAGCGCCAGGCGTCCCGCTAGCAGGACGTGACCGTTAATTAAACCTTTTTTTCTCAAAATTCCCTTTCTGAAATTCACAGTGATCAGCCGACTTCAGATAACCATAACTTTTGTTACAGACAAACGATAAAATAAATAAAAACAGATTTGGAAGGGCTTTAATATGGTCTCAAAACCTGTAATAAGTCAAATATAACATGACATTTTCTTTCAGGAAACTCATTTCTTCATACAATTTTTTTTTTTTTTTTTAAATAACTTTTCTTCATGAATGCAATCCTCGTAACCTCTAAATGCTGTCTCATCAGGCTGGCAACCATTGTTGGTTGTGTGGGAAGAACTGCAATAGTGATAAGCAGTGGCAGCAGCACATCACCTCCGAGAAGCACAAAGAGCGAGTGTTCAACTCCGAGGACGACCAGAACTGCTGGCAGTATCGCTTCCCCACGGGCACCTTCAGAGTTTGCGAGTGGTGAGCTAACGCTAATGTGTAAGGGCCATTCAGCTCACGGTAGCGGTTAACTGTTGTCCCTAACGGATTGGCTTCCGTCCCTCCAGGTTCCTGAAGGGCACCTGCACAGAGGAAGAGCTTTGTAAACTGGCACATGGAGAGGAGGAGCTGAAGGAATGGATGGACAGAAGAGAATTCCTTTTGATGAAACTCGCCAAAGCCCGAAAAGATCACTTGATAGCACCAAATGATAATGACTTTGGCAAATATAGTTTTCTGCTTAAAGATATTAAGTAATTTTTTTTTTTAATGAATCTGAATCTGTTGATGCCGGGTGTTCTGGATCTATGATGTCTTGAGTTCAGTATTGAATCGGGCGAGTCCGTGGAGAGGGAGAACATCCTCCTTCTGGGTTTTCACGGAAAGCACAGAGCTGGCCTTGTGTTCTGAGTAATCACGGCTTTGTTGCTTTTATCACCGGTTAAAAGTAAACGCACCATCGCCTTTTTATGTTTCTCTTATTAAAATAGCACACAGCGGATCACCTTTCAGGAACTGGATTTTGTTAATGAAACCCAAAGCAGAAGTGCAGTATAGGCATGGCATATAGCCAGAGGTACCCTCTGAGAATCCCTTCGGATGATTCTGTGGCAAATTCCCGCCTTTTTTTTTATTATTTGTTTTGGAATGGTCGGTCCTGTATCTCTGTTGTTCTACATTCGCACCAAATTGCTGTGTTATCTGCTTGCTGTGTTAATGCCTGTTGGTATTATATGGACCGACGTAAACACAATAAAGTCTTCATCTTTTCGGCGTCCGTAGTTCCTGAAAGCAAAACGGAGAGGGAAGTCACACCACATCAGTGTATTATTAATCGGAAAAGGGATGCGAGTTAGGGCAGTGTCGAGACATGTGTTAGCCACTAGGGGGAGGTCATGGATGGGCAACCACCTGACGAGTTATATGAGGTTGGATCTGCTGTGTATTTTTGGAATAATTATTTCATTTTACTGGAATTTAACTGCTTGCTTTTGTGCTAATGAAACTGCTATATGCTAGTGAACTTTTTAAAATTAATTAATACTTTGATTCAGCAAGGACGCATTAATTTGTTAAAATGTGACATTACAATGTTACAAAAGACTCCTCTTTCGAATAAATGCTGTTCTTTTGAAGAATCGTGAAAAACATTTCTTGAGGTTTCCATGTTATTAATCTTTACAACTAGTTCTAAATGTTTCTTGAGCAGCAAATCATAAGGATCATGTGATACTGAAGACTGGAGTAATGATTTTGTAAATTCAGCTTTGCATCACAGGAATATATGGACAGAATACTTTTTTTAAAAAAACCCATCACATATACAATTTTTTAACACTGTATATTCAAAGGGAACAGTTGTTTTGAATCGCTGTACCACTCAAAATAATTAATTGGTTTGAGTAGAGCCAACTCAAATTATACAAATTAGTTATTTCAAATTAACTTTTATGAGCTTTTAGAACTTTCTTTTTCTTTTGAGTTGGAAAAAAACGGACATTTTAAGTAAGAGGTTTTATGAACTTGTTTTAAATTTAACTGAAACTGGGCTGGGATTTTTTATTTCCCAGCATGCTTTGCCTGGACAATCAAAAGGGGAGAGTAAATGCTAAAATTAAGTGTTACAAAATGTTTTTTTTTTTTTTTTTTTTTGTGATTTAGTACCGTTTAGTGTTTTGTTATGCTAGTTTAGTAGAGTTTCTGTTATGTTGGGTTTTTTGGGGGGGTTCCCATCATGGTGACGAGTGGAGCATGAGGTTAGCTTGAGGACCGTGTATAAAAAATATTTCATATTGATGAACTCATTCGAAGCGTGCTATGTTATGATAATTCTGTCAAAAAGTTGGTTGCCAATATGCAAGGTAGCATTTATTGAATTAGCTGGTTAAAGCAAGCCAAGTTAATCCATTATAAAAAGTATATAAATTGAGATTGCATGATTATCTTAAATTCTGTTTGGATTTGAAAACTCAAATATTTCAAATTAAGAGCAATTATAATGTATGAGTACAAAATAACAATATGCAAGTTCTGCTATACTTAAAATTAAAATTTCTTAACTTAATTTTTTTTAACTGATTACGCCAAGTTTTGCCAACTTATTCGAGTTTATAGTGTTGTAATAACTTGACGTTACTGTTTTACTGTATTTTAGATTAAATAAATGCAGCCGTGGTGAGCAGAAAAGACCTCTATTTATATATTAATCGTTTGCCTCTTCGGATAAAACTGAGATGAGAGTAAAAACTATGTCAACTAAACTCCAGACAATGGATAGAGTAAACTAATGCACACACTGTCAGAGATGTGTGGTTTTTCTTTCCTGTTCTGGGCTGAAATGCGGTTTGCCTTCAACTGATGCTTGTGAACTTTCATCTGTCTTGTATTGTTATACTAATAGCAAATGATTTCAGTAAATTTCTGTGGTCATCTTTATCTTTGTACATGCATATTATATACAGCTTTAGTCACTGATCTTTGCAGTAATCATTGTGAAGTATATCTAGTTTTACAAACTTTGCATTGGGTTTACTGTCTAAATGAATGCATGGAAGCTGGTCTTTTTTTTTTTTGGTCTTGCACCAAAAAACAGGAAGTGTTTCCAACCCAGACCAGTATGACTAATATATAAAATTAAAGGGATAGTTCACTTTGAAATTAATTTTTGATAAGTTTTAGCTTACCTCAAGAGGATCCAAGATGTAATTGTCATTTTTTTCCCCAGATTATTTTCAATTTTGATATTTTCAGGTCAAACCGTTCTTGTCTGTCAGTCATATAATGGAGGTCTATGGTCACCACCTCAAAGAGCATGCACAGAGAAGTCCAAATTAAACATGATTTAATGACCCGTAAATGTAAGTACACATTGATGGCCTAAGACACGAAACGAGCGGTTATCAATGTGTATCAATGCAACGAGCGCAGACAGAAGTGGCCTCGCCCTCAGAGTACTTGGATGTCACTGCGATTATAAAAGGTAAAAATGATATAAATACTGTTTGTTTTCTCACACAAACCGCTCATTTTGTGTCTTAGGCCATCAATGTGTACTTACATTTACGAGTCATTAAATCATGTTTAATTTGGACTTCTCTGTGCATGCTCTTTGAGGTGGTGACCATACATTATATGACTGACAGACAAGAACGGTTTGACCTAAAAATATCAAAGTTGAAAATACTGCGGAAACAAAGACACCTACATCTTGGATGCCTTTGAGGTAAGCTAAAACATAACAAAAATGAATTTCAAAGTGAACTATCCCTTTAAAACAAGGGAAATTACACAAGAAATTACACAATTATCACAAAAGAAAAGATTTACATTTTAATTTAAAACATACACACAAAACTCACGAGCAGACATTTCCCCAGAAAGGTGTTTTATTGTTCAGTACAGTCAAACACTGGGCAGACACACAGGCTGGATTGACATTGGCAATATACTAAATGCTTTACTGAGAAAAAGTAGCTTCTTTTTCTCAAATTAAATGAACATGCATGTACCGTCCTTGTTTTTTCTGTATATCGAACAGCACATAATGCAGAAAAAAAAATCTGTCGACTTCAAATGCGTGACAGAACCCTAAAGATTTGACGATAGTAACGTCAACTAAATCATGGTAGCTGCTTTTTCAGGCTTTCTTTCTAAATGCCTGACTGACATTTCCATGAATTGTATAAAAATAAATAATTTGTCTCGCTTTCATCTTACACGTACAAACAGCAAACATGACGTTATCACAAACATATTTGGAATGAAATAATGCTTTGAAGAAACAGGTTAAACACTCAAGACAACGACTTTTCAGTATCCAGCTGCGCATCCAGCCACCTTTAAAAAAAATTATATTTACACACTTTCAAATGACCCTTTCACAATGTAGAAATGTGCTCAACCACAAAAAAACGAACGCCTCGGGATCACGTCAGTATTCAACAAGACCTCAGTCATTGGCTTTCCGTTCTTTTAAGTGGTTTCCTAGCAGTTTTACATCGGAACCAGCTGATATAAAATCACATGACGGATAAAAAGAGCTAATGAATGACAGAATATAATGCAAGAGCTTTCAAAAGTCAATTTACATAATTTGGCAAGTCATGGTATCCTGAAGTGCTCATTTGTAATGAAAAACGACATTCTTTTCTTATTGCAATTCAATAAAGCATTCTAAACAAAAAAAAAGGTAAAGCTTAGACATCAGTCCATTGAAACGTGTTGAATTTCCTAATCCCAGAGCCAGCTCTGGATGAAATGGTACAGTAAAAACACAACTAAAGACAACGAACGAATCTTGATTTAGCTTCAGGACTCGGCTCCGGCGTCACAAATAAACGGCATTGCACGAAACTCTTGATTTCACATTATAACAGGGCTCTACCACCACAAAATGGGCGAACAAATCAACAAAGCAACTAGACAACAGCATGCACTAGGTTTGCCTTCGTTCAACAGAGTGGGTTCATGTGTTGAGGGATATTGTAAGGGTTGAAATTCTTCGAGACTGGACCCACTACATATGACGAGGGGAGCTAGGTGTGGCTTTCGGTGCCATTAGGAGTGAGCTTGGTCTTGTGCTCCACCCGCGGGCCCCTGGCCGAATACTGGACCAGCAGGAAGGGTTCCTTGGTCTCGCCTTCTCCGACGATGCTTTCCTCATCTTCAGACTGACCGATGCGCTGCAGCCGCAAGTAGCACCAACAGCCAAGAATTAAAGCCCCCAGTGCGGCGACGGCGATGAGTATTACTATGATGGTGACGACCCCAGTGGTGGGGCTGTGATCCATGATAGACATCCTGTCGGTCGAGGGGGAATTCAGCTGCTGGCCTTCACAAGTCCACCAGAGGCAGTTCTTCAGGGTTCGTGTAAGGTCTGTCCGATTGCTCCTCCTACATCTGAAAGACAAAAGATGACTGACAGACTCAGGTCGATTCTACGCTGTAAAAAAAAAAAACGATGTCATTTTAGCTGTTAAAGTGCTACAGTAAAACCTTCGTGACGGTAAGTTCTCTTATTATATTTGGGGCAAAACTATTAGATCTAACCGTCATTTCATTTCACAGTAAAATACTGTTTTTGAGAAGGGTAGAACTGCAGCTTGGAGATCTCCAAATCTCCAGAAGTGTCATCTTCCTATTTCTTCTTCAGATCTTCTCATTTTGGAGATCTCGGGTGTGCAGCTATACCTACTTGCCATTTTTGGAAGTAAAAAAGAACAAATCATCTTATTATTTGCAGTGAAAAGCCAAAATTTCCAGAATTCCCTGTGTGAAACTTTACATTTGGTGTTTTTTAAAAAAATAGTTAATGTTAATAATTATAATAATGTGTCTTATTTATTATTTATAATTTTTATCAATTATGTACTTTATGGGTTTGTTACATGTTATCCCAGATAGCAAAAGTCTATTTATAGACGCATTTTGCTCATCTGCAATATAGGACGTTTCCTGTCAGATGTTTAGAAGATGTCTTTAAGATGTAATGATTTAGAATGCATGTTAAACTGACATCTTTTAAAAGTCTATTTGACATCTGACAGGAAACGTCCTATAGACGTATTGCAGATGAGCAAACACTCTTAAAAATACATCTTACAGATGTAAACATCACATCAAATAGACTTGTGCTAGTTGTTAAATGAATGTTTATTGCATTATTTCAGAGTCATTTATTATGATGGTGTTTTATGTATGTACATGACAAGGGTCACTGTGATTTTGCCAAGTAAGACGTCCCCAATCCCTACCCCTAAACTTAACCCATAACTTTTCCCTAAAATCAGAGGGTAATGGAAGGTGAATAACAATGTAAGTAGTACTTCACCCTGGTTCAAAGCCTAAACTTGACATAAACTGTAAACTTGTCACTCAAATCTGATTGGTTGATTGGAAAGTTGATCCAGTGGTACTTGGTAAAATCACGTTCAGCTTGTGTATCAGAGCTTGTGTACTTGCGATTATACAACAGATTTAACCTTAATTCAGCAAAAAAAAAAAAAAAAAAAAAAGGCGGTAAGATTTTCCAGTCAAAATATGTAATCTTTTGTTTTAAATTATAACATGTACAGACTGTTTTGTAAATGTGTTTTACATTTGTACCAGTACTGTACAGAAACATTGCGGAAACCACAGCTGATCTGCCATTTTCTCTCTCTCTCCTCTCTCTCTTCTCTCTCTCTCTCTCTCTCTCTCTCTCTCTCTCTCTCTCTCTCTCTCCTCTCTCTCTCTCTCTCTCTCTCTCTCTCTTGTACGTAACGTTACAATAATCTCATATTTGGAGAAACCTCCTGAAAATGTTCTGCTTCTTAAGAAATGCGACAAACATTTCATTTTTCAAATTTACCTGCGTCACAGTTCATTAAACCATGATTCCTTAAAGCCACAGGTTATGCAACACATTTGCTGCATGTTGGCGAAGACTTTCCATTTTGCCCACGCGCCAGTGTTAAATGCGAAGTGGCACGAGGCCCTTCCGGTGTCCTTAACTGAAGCACCGTACAACATTCATGCAGGACAGAGCTCTATATCAACAAAAACGACAGCTGCAAATATCGCTGACGCCGTTGTTATATTTTTTGCCCGAAAAATGCTTTTGAACGGAAAAAAGACATTTGCCACAAAACAGCGATTTTATGCAAACTAAACAAGCCTGAACGTAATGCACATATTTTATCGAGTACAATTAACTTAGCGATATGAAAAGAAGAGCAGAAGGTAATTTAAAGTCAATCTTACCTGTACTAGGCCGATTTTTATCAAAGAATAACACTTGTGCGTTTTGCGAACCATTTCGTGCAATCACGATAGTTCACGCTCGCGCGCGCTGACAGCTTCATGAAAACACAGTCCGCGTCCAGTGATCCAGATGTTATATTATATACACAGCAACATCTAAAAACAGTCACTTACATCTCCAGTCCGAGTAGATAAATAAATAAATAAATGCACACAGCTTGTCACTGTGCAGGAAATGAGATCACGGCTGCAAAAAGGCAAATATCCAATCAAATCAAAGGAATTAATGCCAGTCTCTGATGGTGCTCATAAGGACATATGGGGGCGATCCTCGTTTTGCATTCATAGACAAATGGAAAGAGACGAACTGACTAATGTATTTTTGTATCACAATAGTTCACGCTCGCGCGCGCTGACAGCTTCATGAAAACACAGTCCGCGTCCAGTGATCCAGATGTTATACACAGCAACATCTAAAAACAGTCACTTACATCTCCAGTCCGAGTAGATAAATAAATAAATAAATGCACACAGCTTGTCACTGTGCAGGAAATGAGATCACGGCTGCAAAAAGGCAAATATCCAATCAAATCAAAGGAATTAACCCCCTCAGACCTGAATTATGTTTCAAGTTTCTGAAAAATATAAAAGTACATTTTACCAGCTCATGAGGTTTCTATAAATTAAAACAAATGAAATTTTTTTATATATAATTGCTTTCATTGTGATTTTTTTGTCCATTCCAATGGACATCAGGTCAAAACAGGTGTACTTCCCAAAAATGTACCAACATGAAATAAATTAATAAACATAAAATTTGTTGGTCTATACTTTAAGCTTTTTCTCAAGGTCAAAAACATCCCGGGGGGGCCGACGGGAGGAGCCCGAAGTTTCGGGACCCCCGAGGCAGTTCCCCAAAAGCCCCCTCGGTGGAGCTACCCTTGAAACGTCCCCACTGGTCCCCGGACACGCCCCCATCCCACGAACCCACTATTTGTCCAATAACCCACTATATTTTTAAAAGTTTTTCCGCTGTTCATTCAATATGCTGCAATTGGACGCGGTCCCATCGGCAATCATTCTGGGTAGTGTTTTTTTTTTTTTTTTGATAGACATTTTAATTAAAGTTCCTGTCATGATAAAAACTATTTTACTGCACTCAGGGGGTCCCCTGAGTTGTGGTACTCAAGCGCCTCCCATAATTCCAAACCGTCCACAAACCCAATATTTTTATATTGAATGGCATAAATGCTAACGTGGGATGTCCATATCTCAGCTCTGGAAGGGTCTAGAGCCTCCATTTTTGCACTCAGGTCTAAGTCTCATGGCCCTCTATCAGAATCCAGAGTTTTGAGAAGATTGGAGAAACTTAATTTTTTCGCCCCGAAAAAAAAAAAACGTAAGGGTACCACTGTCGTTTTTTTTTCGGGTCAAAATTTTTGAGTTTCGATATCTCAGCTCTGGAAGGGTCTAGAGCCTCCATTTTTGCACTCAGGTCTAAGTCTCATGGCCCTCTATCAGAATCCAGAGTTTTGGGAAGATTGGAGAAACTTAATTTTTCGCCCGAAAAAAAAAAAAACGTAAGGGGTACCACTGTCGTTTTTTTTTTCGGGCCGAATTTTTGAGTTTCGATATCTCAGCTCTGGAAGGGTCTAGAGCCTCCATTTTTGCACTCAGGTCTAAGTCTCATGGCCCTCTATCAGAATCCAGAGTTTTGGGAAGATTGGAAACTTAATTTTTCGCCCGAAAAAAAAAAAACGTAAGGGGTACCACTGTCGTTTTTTTTTTTCGGGTCGAATTTTTGAGTTTCGATATCTCAGCTCTGGAAGGGTCTAGAGCCTCCATTTTTGCACTCAGGTCTAAGTCTCATGGCCCTCTATCAGAATCCAGAGTTTTGGGAAGATTGGAGAAACTTAATTTTTCGCCCGAAAAAAAAAACGTAAGGGTACCACTGTCGTTTTTTTTTTCGGGCGAATTTTTGAGTTTCGATATCTCAGCTCTGGAAGGGTCTAGAGCCTCCATTTTTTGCACTCAGGTCTAAGTCTCATGGCCCTCTATCAGAATCCAGAGTTTTGAGAAGATTGGAGAAACTTAATTTTTCGCCCGAAAAAAAAAAACGTAAGGGGTACCACTGTCGTTTTTTTTTCGGGTCAAATTTTTGAGTTTCGATATCTCAGCTCTGGAAGGGTCTAGAGCCTCCATTTTTGCACTCAGGTCTAAGTCTCATGGCCCTCTATCAGAATCCAGAGTTTTGGGAAGATTGGAGAAACTTAATTTTTCGCCCAAAAAAAAAAAAAACGTAAGGGGTACCACTGTCGTTTTTTTTTTCGGGCCGAATTTTTGAGTTTCGATATCTCAGCTCTGGAAGGGGCTAGAGCCTCCATTTTTGCACTCAGGTCTAAGTCTCATGGCCCTCTATCAGAATCCAGAGTTTTGAGAAGATTGGAGAAACTTAATTTTTCGCCCGAAAAAAAAAAAACGTAAGGGGTACCACTGTCGTTTTTTTTTTCGGGCCGAATTTTGAGTTTCGATATCTCAGCTCTGGAAGGGGCTAGAGCCTCCATTTTTGCACTCAGGTCTAAGTCTCATGGCCCTCTATCAGAATCCAGAGTTTTTGGAAGATTGGAGAAACTTAATTTTTCGCCCGAAAAAAAAAAAACGTAAGGGGTACCACTGTCGTTTTTTTTCGGGCCGAATTTTTGAGTTTCGATATCTCAGCTCTGGAAGGGCTAGAGCCTCCATTTTTGCACTCAGGTCTAAGTCTCATGGCCCTCTATCAGAATCCAGAGTTTTGGAAGATTGGAGAAACTTAATTTTCGCCCGAAAAAAAAAAACGTAAGGGGTACCACTGTCGTTTTTTTTTTTCGGGCCGAACTTTTGAGTTTCGATATCTCAGCTCTGGAAGGGCCTAGAGCCTCCATTTTTGCACTCAGGTCTAAGTCTCATGGCCCTCTATCAGAATCCAGAGTTTTGAGGAGATTGGAGAAACTTAATTTTTCGCCCGAAAAAAAAAAAACGTAAGGGGTACCACTGTCGTTTTTTTTTCGGGTCAAATTTTTGAGTTTCGATATCTCAGCTCTGGAAGGGTCTAGAGCCTCCATTTTTGCACTCAGGTCTAAGTCTCATGGCCCTCTATCAGAATCCAGAGTTTTGGGAAGATTGGAGAAACTTAATTTTTCGCCCGAAAAAAAAAAACGTAAGGGGTACCACTGTCGTTTTTTTTCGGGTCAAATTTTTGAGTTTCGATATCTCAGCTCTGGAAGGGTCTAGAGCCTCCATTTTTGCACTCAGGTCTAAGTCTCATGGCCCTCTATCAGAATCCAGAGTTTTGAGAAGATTGGAGAAACTTAATTTTCGCCCGAAAAAAAAAAAAACGTAAGGGGTACCACTGTCGTTTTTTTTCGGGTCAAATTTTTGAGTTTCGATATCTCAGCTCTGGAAGGGGCTAGAGCCTCCATTTTTGCACTCAGGTCTAAGTCTCATGGCCCTCTATCAGAATCCAGAGTTTTGGGAAGATTGGAGAAACTTAATTTTTCGCCCCGAAAAAAAAAAACGTAAGGGGTACCACTGTCGTTTTTTTTTTCGGGCCGAATTTTTGAGTTTCGATATCTCAGCTCTGGAAGGGTCTAGAGCCTCCATTTTTGCACTCAGGTCTAAGTCTCATGGCCCTCTATCAGAATCCAGAGTTTTGGGAAGATTGGAGAAACTTAATTTTTCGCCCGAAAAAAAAAAAAACGTAAGGGGTACCACTGTCGTTTTTTTTTTCGGGCCGAATTTTTGAGTTTCGATATCTCAGCTCTGGAAGGGTCTAGAGCCTCCATTTTTGCACTCAGGTCTAAGTCTCATGGCCCTCTATCAGAATCCAGAGTTTTGGGAAGATTGGAGAAACTTAATTTTTCGCCCCAAAAAAAAAACGTAAGGGGTACCACTGTCGTTTTTTTTTTCGGGTCGAATTTTTGAGTTTCGATATCTCAGCTCTGGAAGGGTCTAGAGCCTCCATTTTTGCACTCAGGTCTAAGTCTCATGGCCCTCTATCAGAATCCAGAGTTTTGGGAAGATTGGAGAAACTTAATTTTCGCCCGAAAAAAAAAAAAACGTAAGGGGTACCACTGTCGTTTTTTTTTCGGGCCGAATTTTTGAGTTTCGATATCTCAGCTCTGGAAGGGGCTAGAGCCTCCATTTTTGCACTCAGGTCTAAGTCTCATGGCCCTCTATCAGAATCCAGAGTTTGGGAAGATTGGAGAAACTTAATTTTTCGCCCGAAAAAAAAAACGTAAGGGGTACCACTGTCGTTTTTTTTTTCGGGTCGAATTTTTGAGTTTCGATATCTCAGCTCTGGAAGGGGCTAGAGCCTCCATTTTTGCACTCAGGTCTAAGTCTCATGGCCCTCTATCAGAATCCAGAGTTTTGAGAAGATTGGAGAAACTTAATTTTTCGCCCGAAAAAAAAAAACGTAAGGGGTACCACTGTCGTTTTTTTTTCGGGTCGAATTTTTGAGTTTCGATATCTCAGCTCTGGAAGGGGCTAGAGCCTCCATTTTTGCACTCAGGTCTAAGTCTCATGGCCCTCTATCAGAATCCAGAGTTTTGAGGAGATTGGAGAAACTTAATTTTTCGCCCGAAAAAAAAAACGTAAGGGGTACCACTGTCGTTTTTTTTTCGGTCAATTTTTGAGTTTCGATATCTCAGCTCTGGAAGGGGCTAGAGCCTCCATTTTTGCACTCAGGTCTAAGTCTCATGGCCCTCTATCAGAATCCAGAGTTTTGAGAAGATTGGAGAAACTTAATTTTTCGCCCAAAAAAAAACGAAAGGGGTACCACTGTCGTTTTTTTTTCGGGCCAAATTTTTGAGTTTCGATATCTCAGCTCTGGAAGGGGCTAGAGCCTCCATTTTTGCACTCAGGTCTAAGTCTCATGGCCCTCTATCAGAATCCAGAGTTTGAGGAGATTGGAGAAACTTAATTTTTCGCCCCAAAAAAAAAAAAAAGGGGTACCACTGTCGTTTTTTTTTCGGGTCAAATTTTTGAGTTTCGATATCTCAGCTCTGGAAGGGTCTAGAGCCTCCATTTTTGCACTCAGGTCTAAGTCTCATGGCCCTCTATCAGAATCCAGAGTTGGGAAGATTGGAGAAACTTAATTTTTCGCCCAAAAAAAAAAAACGTAAGGGGTACCACTGTCGTTTTTTTTTTTGGGCGAATTTTTGAGTTTCGATATCTCAGCTCTGGAAGGGCTAGAGCCTCCATTTTTGCACTCAGGTCTAAGTCTCATGGCCCTCTATCAGAATCCAGAGTTTTGGAAAGATTGGAGAAACTTAATTTTTCGCCCGAAAAAAAAAAACGTAAGGGTACCACTGTCGTTTTTTTTTCGGGTCAAATTTTTGAGTTTCGATATCTCAGCTCTGGAAGGGGCTAGAGCCTCCATTTTTGCACTCAGGTCTAAGTCTCATGGCCCTCTATCAGAATCCAGAGTTTTGGGAAGATTGGAGAAACTTAATTTTTCGCCCGAAAAAAAAAAACGTAAGGGGTACCACTGTCGTTTTTTTTTTTCGGGCCGAATTTTTGAGTTTCGATATCTCAGCTCTGGAAGGGCTAGAGCCTCC